GCCCCGCACGAGCAGGTGTCCCCGGGGGCGGGGGCGAGTGCGCGAGTCCCGGGGAGGGTGGAGGGAGGGGAGTGGCCATGAAAGGGGAGGGTGCTCTGGGGTAGAATAGGTGTGTGCACGCGGGTAGTACGAGAGTGAAGAGGACCAGTTGTGGAGGATAGAAGGTGAGTGATCAAAGGACGCTGGTGCACCGGGAAGGGAGAGGCTTGTGCAAAAGGTGAGTGTGAAAAGAGTCTTAAGAAGAATGTGAGCCAAGGGAATATGTGAGGACCTGAGTGAGCAAGGGATGCATTCAAATTTAAACCCTTTGTATATGTGCATGATTTGGGATTATGGAAGGGAGGTGGGTGTGTAAGGAATTGAATCAGATTGTCTGATGATCATGATGGTAATGTGCGAAGAAAGTGCGTGAACAAGGGAATGCTAAAGAAATGAGTGTCTTTCCTGGTACTCTTCTGCTCTTATCATCACTATGATCAAGTGAGCATAACACACACACACACACACACACACACACACACACACACACACAGAGTCTTTGCTTTTATGAGGGCCTTGGCTCTAAGAAACAGTAAGGCCCCCTCATCACATTTTCTCTGTGTTACACTTGTTCTTCTCTCCTTCCCTTTTGGAAGATGAGGGAAAAGGGATTCCAGAGAGCCCACTGGGTCAAACACACTGGGAAGAAAAAATAATTAGTAGAAAGGTAATTAACAAGAGAAGACATGAGATGGAGCTGAGGACCAACCAGAAAACTAAGCCTCAATAGAAAAGTACAGATGAGAAATGATAAGAAGCATTCAAATGTTTTGGGTGGGTGGATGGATGAATGAATTAGGAAAAGAAACAGGGACTCAAGTAGATACAGAGGATGGCTTCTGTTCTGAAGACAGCTGTGGAGACTTCTGTGCAAGATGAGGCTGATATAGGAACTGTTGGTACAGGGAGTTTGACAAAGCCATAGACACTTAGCTTTCCAGGTTTATAAACCTTGCCAAGGTAGCCAGTGAAGCATTCATTTCACAAGCTCCTTAGCCAGTTCAGGCCTTGAGGGTTTTGTGCTAGCTGTTTTGTACCAGCTACCTTTGCCAGCAAGGGTTCAGAGCCACAAGTAACAGAATGGAAAGGAGGAGAGCTGTTCAGACATGTCTTCCATTTTGCCCCAAAGCTAGGTTTTTTAATTAATCTTTCAGGTCCAAATTATTACCTTCTCTGCCAGATGGTTAAGGAAGATAGGAGTTAGGATGGAAAAGGTGACCTAGAGAAGGGTAATAAAGGTGTTTCAGATTTTATGCCATTTATGACAAAAGAAACACTGGTCCCTTCCTCCTCCCACCTCATCCCCTCAAGGGCTGGAAGATAAAGAAGTAGAAGACAGTAAAACCAAGGAAAGCAGAGAAGCCTACTGATTTACAGAGATATTTGAGCAGAAGCCAATTGGGAAAGACTGCCTTCAGGGCAGGGGCAAGGGTTAAGAAAGCTGCATTATAGGGCCAGGGGGAAGCACAGTGACCCTAAATGAGTCAGCAGGTTTGCACAAGGGCATAAATCATCAGCATGCTCTGTGATGACCGAGGTGAACATAAAGAGGTAACTTCCTCGCACCTGCACAGTCCTTTATCTGTCCTATCTCACATTCATATGACAGTCTAAAAAACTGTACAGGCCAAGCATTGTTATCTTTTATCAAGCAATAACTAACTTCTCTGTCAGTGGCATCTGGTTTCTAACCCCTCCAAGTAGTGAGGTTTGGAAGAATGAGGTGAGGTGGTCATTACCTTGATTTCTTTTGGAAGTGACTCTATTGCATTATTGTCATCCAATCTACCATCTATCTATTTTTTTAGTCAGTTTTGCTCTCAAGTGGTCATTATCTAGTCCCTATTTTAGTAGCAATCAAGAAATTAAAAAAAAAATTCACTGGGGAAAGCTGCTGCCAAGGACCTCTCCAAAGTTCTGGAGAGCAAGGATGCCAATGTAAAGACTAAGGTTCATCTACCCAAGATATTTTCAATTGCTTTTTATTCATCTGAAAGTTGAACAGTGACTAAGGATGACAGAAGAGAAATTGATGTATTTGAATTGTGATAATAGTGAAGAGAAGATACCATGGATTGCCAAAAGAATAAACAAATCTGCCTTGAAGGAAGTGCAACCAGAGTGCTCCTTAGAAGCAAGGATAATGGGCATGCTGTCAGGAGAGACAGGTCTTGGAGAAAGGTATCATGCTGGGGAAAGTAATGAAAGAGGGAAAGATGCTCAACAAGATAGACACAGTGACTACTACAATGGGTTTGAGCAGCACAGAGATCATGAGCATGGCTCAGGATAGGGCAAGTTTCAGATCTTTTGTTCATAGGGTCTCTATGAGTCATAGTCAGCTTGATAGTACCTAATAACATACGACCATAGCGAAGGCTATATAGTTATAAATAGCTGTATCACTACTATAAAAGACTTAATAGCGAAGACACACAGACACAAAAGCTTGGAAGCTTAGTAAAAATTTATTGAATGAATGAGTGAAAGAAGCAAAGATGCAAATGAGGATTTCCTTTTCCTACTGCAAAAGTGCACAAAGACGACACCCTCCTTCATTTTTGACCTCTCCTCTGCATGGAGTGACCGAAAATCGGACGATAGATACACTTGGGTTGGGTCTTCTGCCCAAAGTCGGGATCTGGGTGGCCTAGGTTGCCATGGCACCGCCTCCGGGTACACCCTTTCTCGCCTGCCTTAGATCACTCAGGGTTAAGGCAGTCAGTCACGTGCCTCGCTTGTAACCACACCTCTGCTCCTCCGAGCAATGTCAAGCGGTCACGTGTGATAGCAACAGATCACGTGGCTGCTGCCGCCCCTTTGCCTCCGCCGGCCGCTCCCTTCTGAAAGCCGGTCAGGCAGCTCCTCTGCGCATGGGCAGCAGGCCACGTGCCCGAACGTACGGCGTGCCCCGCCCACCCGGTTTCCGCGCGCCTCTTTGGCAGCTGGTCACATGGTGAGGGTGGGGGTGAGGGGGCGCTCTAGCTTGTGACCTGTGTCTATGGTCTGGCCCAGCACGTCCAGCTGCTCGGGTGCATGGCACCTCGGAACTCCGCTCCGTGGCGCCGATAACGGGCTGCCGCCGCAGCTCCTAGCCCGGGGCGAGGTAAGTGCAGCCATTTCCCTGGAGTCCCCGCCCCCACGACTCCCCACGCGTTTATTTCGCGGGTTGTAGAAGAATGTTGTGATGCAGCCTTTGTGATCACGGAGAGTTATCATTTTAGAGACTTAGGTGTGGGATCTTTGGTGTAGGAGTTGTCTTGATTGGGTTTTCCCTATGCAGGGAGCGATGGACCCAAAAGCAGAGGCATATTTTTTTTTTGTTCCAGAGCCTCACGTGGCTGGAGGTGTTGGTCATTGTTACCTGAGGGAATGGCCCTTGGGAGAGAGGGTGGCACATTGTTATCTTTGTTAGAACTTTGTGGGTCTTTCTTTGTTGCTGCAGACTTTAGAATCTTAACTCTTGAAGGAGATTTTGATGCTAAAAGTTTCTTTTCCAATTCAGGCTTTCCCTGATTTGAGAATGGCCACCTCTCGCTATGAGCCAGTGGCGGAGATCGGTGTCGGTGCCTATGGGACAGTGTATAAGGCCCGTGATCCCAACAGTGGCCACTTTGTGGCCCTCAAGAGCGTGAGAGTCCCCAACGGAGAAGGTACTGGAGGGGGCCTTCCTGTCAGCACAGTTCGTGAAGTGGCCTTATTGAGACGGCTGGAGGCTTTTGAGCATCCTAATGTTGTCCGGTGAGAAGATGTGGAGGGTTGGAAGTGGGTGGTGACAGGGAAAAGACAACCTATAAGTGGGGAGTCGCGGTCAGGAGAGAACGGGACTTGAGAAAACAAAGGGGAAGCCATGTTGGGTCAAAGGTGAATGACCAGTGAATGATCATTTGTCCTGGCCAGGCTGATGGATGTCTGTGCTACAGCCCGAACTGACCGGGAAACCAAGGTGACTCTGGTGTTTGAACATGTGGATCAAGATCTAAGGACCTATCTAGAGAAAGCACCCCCACCAGGCTTGCCAGTGGATACCATCAAAGTGAGTGGAAGGGCACAAAGAATGATGTGGATTGGGGCCTTGTGCTAGCACCTGTGGGAGTCTGAAGTATGGTTCCTAGTTTCTGGTGTCTCTCTACCTCCAGGATCTTATGTGCCAGTTTCTCAGAGGCCTTGATTTCCTTCATGCCAATTGCATCGTTCATCGGGACCTGAAGCCAGAGAACATTCTGGTGACAGGTAGTGGGACAGTCAAGCTGGCTGACTTTGGCCTGGCCAGAATCTACAGCTACCAAATGGCTCTTACACCTGTGGTCAGTATAAAGTTGGTAACCAAAATGGATTCAGGTTGGGTTAGGGGAGTGAATGGCCATAATGATTAAGGCATCACTTTTGCTCTATGGTAACCTCAAGGGTCTTGTTCTGTTATTCTTGTCTCCTTTAGGTAGTTACACTTTGGTACCGAGCTCCTGAAGTTCTTCTCCAATCTACGTATGCAACTCCTGTGGACATGTGGAGTGTTGGCTGTATCTTTGCAGAGATGTTTCGTCGGAAGTAAGGAAACCAAGTTCCGGAAACCATCTTGAGTTTTCCTAAATCTCATTATTTATAAACCATAGTTTTCATTACTGACTGAAAAGGCTTGAAGTTTGACACTGACTATCCTTTCATTGTCCACACCTTGTTTTCACTCATAGAAGATTAGTTGGTGGCATAGAGGGTTAAGAGTTGGGCTGCTAACGTATAGATGAGAAATGTTCAGGAGTGAATGGAACTTAAAGAAACTAAGAGGAGGCCATCTTGGGTCAAAGGGCAAATGAACAGTGTGACTTATCATTTGTCCTGGCCAGGCTGATGAATGTCTGTGCCACAGCCTGAACTGACCAGGAAACCAAAATGACTTTGGTGGGAGAAACCTATCAGCTGGAAGAAAGATAGCTGGGGTCTGTTTCTGTTCAGATTTATAGCCTCAGACACTGTGTGGGGCACTTCTACCTCATCCTAGTATAGTTTTGCTTTGAATGGGACTTGACAGCAATTAAGTTCTTTTTTAAATAGTAATTGTTCTATTGCTTTGTCTTTAAAAATGATTGTTACTTTGTGCTCCTTTTCCCCTCAGGCCTCTCTTCTGTGGAAACTCTGAAGCTGACCAGTTAAGCAAGATTTTTGAGTGAGTGACCAGTGAGGGTGGGGGTGGTTTTCCTTTCTGAATCTCCTTTATGCTCACTCTTAGAATGGCAACTAGCTTTGCTCCTGGGGACGGGGGCTTTGAGGGATGCTTTTAGTAATTTTTTCTGGTTCCCCATAGTCTCATCGGGCTGCCCCCAGAGGAAGACTGGCCCCAAGATGTGTCTCTGCCCAGAGCTGCCTTTTCTTCCGGAGGGCCACGCCCAGTGCAGTCCGTAGTGCCCGAGGTGGAGGAGTCTGGAGCACAGCTGCTGCTGGTACTAACTGCAGGCATGGGGCGAGATTTGGGATGGAAAATGGGAGCACATAAAGCCATCATGGTCCCTAATACTGTATTTTATTGGATGGGCTGTAATAATATTTATCGCTGTATTGTCAGGTGTGGACAGGAGTCTTTTTCCTTGATTATTGATCTTTGTCTCTCTCTTCAGGAAATGCTGACTTTTAACCCACATAAGCGAATTTCTGCCTTCCAAGCCCTGCAGCATTCTTACCTACAAAAAGGTGAAGATAATCCAGAGTGAGCAGTGGAGTAGCTGGAATAGGACCAAGCCAAGGAGGAGAAGCTATCATTTTCTGTCTTTGGACGTTTGAGTGGAGAAACCTTACTCTCCATTGATAAGGCAATCTCTAGCCTCTGCCTTCATGCTGAGGCTTTGGAAATCCTTCCCCTCAACTTTTTACAGAGAATATTTTGCTGCCTTAATGATGTCCTCCTGCCCTTCTTTTTGAGGCATATTCTTTCCCCCCATCTCCCTACACTAAGGGGTATGCCTGTCTTCCCTTCTGTGACATTGGGTTCCTTTTTTATACAGGGGAAAAAACAAAACAAAGAAATGTGGTCTTTTTTTTAATGTTTCTTTCGCTGATTGGCTTTGCCATTGGGGGATTTGGAAAGAACTTGCTGAACCTTAAAAACTTCTTTAAATCGTAGGACCTAGGCAGCTGATGGAACTTTCTGGATGACAGAGAAAAGAAAGGAATGTCACTTCTTTGAATACAGGATAAAATTACTTTTTTATTTTTATTTCCTCAGAACTACCTCAGACCGAGTCCTGCTGATAATAAGAATTCTTGGTGGTTTTCTTTATTCTTGATTTACCTTTGGAGTCAGGTCAGGATATGCTGAAGTGGTCCATCATGTGACTAGGAATGGGGAGGAAAGGCAGGGATGACTCCAGCCCCATACAGTGCGCTCCTACGAGTTTCCCAAATCCCTTCTGGGTGAAGTAGGTTTTTTTCTTACAATCTTGCTTTCACCAAAGCATGCCAAGGCTTGAAGCTTAGCTGTTCAACCAGCTCTTTTAGGGAATGTTGCAAAGGATCTTTTCCCTTTTTTCAATAAAGGCTACAGACCCTAAGTTTTCCCTAAGGGAGTAATAAAAAA